TGTTAAGGTAAGTGTCACTAATCTGTGCAGCCATCTGATTGGTGGAGCCGCAGGAGGAGCTGCAGGGCCGTAACACAGAGGGGGCTGGAAGGGGGCTCTAAAACCCTATCTAGAGTTTTACAGACCGCAAACAAAGAAAATCACGTAAAAATTACTAAAAGTGTTTTTGGACGATTAAACGATCTAATCTTCAGTTCCAGATCGTGAGTTCAACAATGAGACACATTGTTGATGTTTATAAAATAAATGGCGATTACAGAAGTATTGGCAAAACTCAAAACTCAGTGTAATTTTACATTGATTGATGCTGAAAGTAACTCAAAAGTTGTGTAAGTTACAAAAATACAGGTAAATTACTTTTTTCAGGTAAAAAAGTAATTAGATTACTGAATCAAGTAACCAGTAATCTCAGTTACTTATTTTAGGAGTAATTAGTAATCAAATTAAAATTAGTATTTCAAAGTAACTATGCCATCACTGCATATATAACACTATAGTGCTGAGAACTAAAATCTGCTGGTTCCCCCAACAGAACCTTCCCATTCTGGGAACGGAGCTAGTTCTGCTCACACGTCCGTCTTTGTCCACTCCGGCGATCTGTCCGGTGGCGATCCGAATCTTGTCCGGATGGATGGCCAGACTGTGGACAGAGAGCGATAAAATCACCAACAGCAGCAGCCAATGGCGGAGCAGGAAGTGACGCCGAGCGTTCCTCACCATTTGATGCAGTCGGTGTGTCCAAGGTAATGCCTCTGGGTCCGTTCCTCGTAGCTGAACAGAACCGCCACGGACGCTATGAAGTAGACGATCTCTCCAGTGGGAAGCAGGTAGACGTTGGCCCGGCAGTCCCGACCACGGTACCCGTACCTGCAGAGGGTCAAGGAGCACCGGAACCGGGCCTGGGGTTCTACTGGATCACTCACGGTTCTACTGGGCACCATCTGGGCTATATTAGTCGCACTGGTCGTACTGGTTCTCCAACTGGTTGGAAGGATACACCCATTCCAGCTTGAGTCGTTCTGGAGGAAGCTCAGCCCGGACGTCCTCATAGTTTTCCACGTCTGAAGGGATGAACATGGTGATTGGTCGACCTCGCATGAACATCTTGATAGAGTTTCCCTCTGAAACATCAAACAAACCGAGGTTCCGGGTCAGACGGGCCATTGCAGGAACAGAACCGGTCAGACCAGAACCTCCAGCAGCAGCCCGAAGATTCTGCTGACAAAAGCCCAGAAGGAAAGATTCCAACACCAGACCGAAATGAAAAGCAGGTAAGCCTTGGTTACAGGTGGGAGACAGGTGGGAGACAGGTGAGGGGCAGTAACAGGTGAGGGGCAGGTTAGAGACAGGTGAGTCAGAGTTGAGGTAAAGTCACCCAGAGGGAGCTAGAGTCCGCTTTAGTCTGAGTCGCCAGTAAAAACGACTGAGCTGCAGAGACTGCTGTGATTGGCCCGATTTGAACACTAGAACTGATCTTATTCGCTGTGAATCTTTGAAAAAGTTCAGGCTCCAATCAGGGCGCTTTAGTTTCTTTTTGCAGATTAATGCTATAAACAAGGAAGAGGTGGGGTCAAACAGTGATATCAGCAGGTGGATGAGTGAGGCAAACAATGGAAGCACACAGAAGGAGGCGATTGGTTCAGAAACAGGAAGTGTTGCACTTTCTGTTAGCCAGCTAGTGGGCTTCAGCTGAACTTACCAGCAAGGCTGTTTTTCTCTCGGGTCGACATTTTGGCTGGTTTGAGACAGAGACATGGTCACATGGTCACTGAACAACAACAACAACAACATGGCGTCTGACAGACTACAGGCCAGAAAACATCTGGAGCCTCTGGATTCCTATTGGCTGGTAGACAGTGATGATGATCATGATGATGATGATGATGATGGGTGTGGTGTGTTTGGCGAGGAAGGACAACCTACCTTGGCTGACCACTGGGTCTTTGTGCCTGAAAGAGCAGAAAACATTCATTACTCTCCTTCCTAATCGGACCCAACACTCGCAGGTTCTCTAGTAATCTCAGTTTGGGACTTGGGTTATTAAATCCTGTGTGTGTGTGTGTGTGTGTGTGTGTGTGTGTGTGTGTGTGTGTCGTACTTGTCTGCATTCTTCACCACTTTGGCCAGTAGCTTGGAGGTAGACGCTGCCTTCACCAGCTTGTTCCGGTTCTTCTCTGCTGAGTCCCAGTTGCTGCTATGGGATCGCTCCATTCCTGAAGACCGCTTTACGCTGGGACCCCTGGAGAGAAACACACACACACATACACACACACACACAGAGTGAGCAGCAGGAATCAATGAACTATCATCAGATTCATCATCATTTTTTTACTCATTGGAGCTTCTGATGCTGAAATGTCAAAGCTTTTACTCAGAAACAACAGAGATGTCTTGCCTCACAAACACCCAAAGCACCAGGAGACGCACTCAGAACCCGGAGGAGGAGCCAGAGGGGGAGGAGTCAGAGGGTTACGAGTCAGAAGGAGGAGTCAGAGAAGGAGGAGTCAG